TTATCTAGGCACCCCAATGTAAAACCAAAATTTCTCGAACAAATATGTCAGAGAAAATATACTACTGTCCTTTTCTACTCTGTTTTTCAAGTATATACACCAACTCAATATGCTCTCTCATGTAAAAATACCAAATTATAAATTTACACTAATCAAATAAAATCTAAATATTATCTAGGCTCCCAATGTTAATAGGAAAATTGCTCTGAATAAATATATCAGAGAAATATACAATGCCTTTTCTACTCTGTTTTGGAGTATATACACCAACTCAATATTCTCTTTCATGTAAAATACCGAAAATCTAAATTCACTTGAATCGAAAAAATCTAAGTATTATCAAGGCACTCCAACGTTAAAAGCAAAATTGCTCTAAATGTAATCTGTTCAGAATAACATACAATGCCCTATTCGTCTCTGGTTTGGAGTATATACACCAAATCAATATGCTCTCTCATGTAAAATACCGAAATTCTAATTTTACGCATATTCAATAAAAATCTAAATATTATGTAGGAAAGCCAATGTTAAAAGAAAATAGCTCTGAATATAATCTGTCATAAAAGATATACAATGACTCTTTCTACTCTGTTTTGGAGTACATACACCAACTCAAAATGCTCTCTTATATAAAATACCGAAATTCTAAATTTGCGCTAATTGAATAAGATCTAACTATTATCTAGGCACCCCAAAGTTAAAAGAAAATGGCTCTGAATATAATCTTTCAGAAAAATATACAATACTATTTTCTACTCTATTTTGGAGTATATACACCAATTCAATATGCTCTCTCATGTAAAATACTGAAATTCTAAATATACACGAATCGAAAAAATATCTAAATATTATCTAGGCACCCCAATGTAAAAAGCAAAATTTCTCGGAACAAAGGTCTGTGGGAGAAAATATACAGTGCCCTTTTCTACTTTGTTTTCGAGTTTATACACCAACTCAATATGCTCTCTAATGTAAAATACAGAAATTCTAATTTCACACGAACGGGAAACAAATCAAAATATTATCTAGGTACCCCATTGTTAAAATCAAAATTTCTCTGAATATAATCTGTCAGAAAAAATACACAATGCCGTTTTCTACTCTGTTTTGGAGTATATACACCAATTCAATATGCTTTCTCATGTAAAATACCGAAATTCTAAATTTACGCGAATCGAAAAAAATCTAAATATTACCTAGGCACCCCAATGTTGAAAGCAAAATTGCTCTGATTATAGTCTGTCAGAAAAAATATACAATACCATTTTCTACTTCGTTTTGGAGTATATACACAAACCCAATATGCTCTCTCATATAAAATACCGAAATTCTTATTATACGCAAATTGAAAAAAATCTAAATATTATCTAGACACCCCAATATTGAAAGAAAATGGCTCTGATTATAATCTGTCAGAAAAAATATACAATGCCCTTTTGTCCTCGGTTTTGGAGTATATGGACCAACTCAATATGCTCTCTCATGTAAAATACCGAAATTCTAAATTTACGTTAATCAAATGAAATCTAAATATTATCTAGGCACCCCAATGGTAATAGCAAAATTGCTCTGCATGTATTTCGTCAGATAAAATATACAATGCCCTTTTCTACTCTGTTTTGGAATACATAGACCAACTCAATATGCTCTCGCATGTAAAATACAGAATATTCTAATTGTACGAGAATCGAAAAAAATCTAAATATTATCTAGGCACCCCAAAGTTAAAAGAAAATGTCTCTGAATATATTCTGTCAAAAATAATACAATGCCCTTTTCTACTCTGTTTTGGAGTATATAAACCAACTCAATATACTCCCTCATGTAAAATACCGAAATTCTAAATTTACGCGAATCAAAAAAAATCTAAATATTATCTAGGCACCCCAACGTTAAAAGCAAAATTTTTCTGAATATAGTCTGTCAGAGAAAATATACAATGCCCTTTTCTACTTTGCTTTGTAGTATATACACCAACTAAATATGCTCTCTCATGTAAAACATCGAAATTCTAATTTTACGCAAATCGAAGAAATTCTAAATATTATCTAGGCACCCCTAGGTTAAAGAAAATCGCTATAAATATAGTCTGTCAAAAAAATATACAATGCCTTATTCTACTCTGTTTTGGAGTATACACAGCAACTCAATATGCTCTCTCATGTAAAGTACCGAAATTCTGATTTTACGCCAATCGAAAAAAATCTAAATAATATGTAAGAACCCCAATGTAAAAAGCTAAACTTCTCTGAATATAATCTGTCAGAAAAAGTATACAATCCTCTTTTCCACTCTGTTTTGGAGTATATATACCAACTCAATATGCTCTCTCATGTAAAATACTGAAATTCTAATTTTACGTGAATCTAACAAACTCTAAATATTACCTAGGCACAGCAATGTTAAAAGAAAAATTGCTCTGAATATAATCTGTCAGAAAAAATATACAACGCCCTATTCTACTCTGTTTTGGGGTATATACACCAACTCAATATGCTCTCACATGTAAAATACCGAAATTCTAATTTACACGAGTCGAAAAAAATGTAAATATAATCTAGGCACCCCAATGTTAAAAGCAAAATTTCTCTGAATATAGTCTGTCAGAAAAAATATTCAATGCCCTTTTCTGCACTGTTTTGGATTATATACACCAACTCAATATGCTCTCTCATGTAGAATACCGAGATTCTAATTTTACGTGAATCGAAACAATCTAAATATTATCTAGGCACACCATTGTTAAAAGCAAAATTTCTCTGAATATAATCTGTCAGAAAAAATATACAATGCGCTATTCTACTTTGTTTTGGAGTATATACACCAAGTCAATATGCTCTCTCATGTAAAATACCGAAATTCTAATTTTACTGCAAATCGAAAAAAATCTAAATATTATCTACGCACCCCAATGTTAACAGCAACATTGCTCTGAATATTATCTGTCAGAAAACATATAAAATGCGCTTTTCTACTCTGTTTTGGAGTATATACACCAACTCAATATGCTCTATTATTTAAAATATGGAAATTCTAATATTTACGCGAATCGTAAAAAACCTAAATATTATCTAGGCAACCCAATGTTTAAAGCAAATTTGCTCTGAATATGATCTGTCAGAAATAATATACAATGCCCTATTCTACTCTGTTTTGGAGTATATACACCAATTCCATATGCTCTCTTGTGTAAAATACTGAAATTCTTAATTTACGCTAATCGAAAAAATCTAAATATTATCTAGGTACCCCAATGTTAAAAGCAAAATTGCTCTCAATATAATCTGTCAGAAAAAATATACAATGCCCTTTTCTACTGTGTTTTGGAGTGTATACACCAACTCAATATTCTCCCTCATGTAAATTACCCAAATCCTAACATTACTCTAAGTATCTCATAAAGTGCACAAGACCCCCTTGATGTTGTTTTTTATAACTAGGGGATTACAGATGACATTACTCACGATATGACTGCGGCTGTTTGCCGGTCCTGTGATAATGTAATATCCAGAAAGGAGAGGGGAATGTTTCTGCCCATAGGCAAATCCTCTGAATACGGCAAGACGAGTACACCGTGCTGTGATATTTTCACTAATGTAAACAAGAAAACAATTATATTGAATTAAATATTGCAAGGTGTTAACCTCCCTATAATTTTCCTTGTAATTTCAAGGGGTTGAGGAAGACATTTTGTCAAAATGGCGGAGGTGTAACTTCAGCTATTGTCTACTATATAATAAAAAAGGATAAAATTATTATTTACATATGATATGATTGCCATTATCATATTACACCACATTTTCAAAATATCTGGGCCCCAGAAGCTGTGGGCATGGCAGCCAAGCGAGGGTGTCCCTATGCAACCAGGTTGGGCATTGCAGCTGCTACGGGCCCTTTGTGATTTGTCTGGGGGCTGCTTCGGGCCCTCTGGTGGTGGCTGTGGTAACAGCCACATAGCCAGAGGGTCTCTCAGCATCCAGGGAGGGCCTGGCGGCTGTACACTCTGGCAGGGCTATGGGCACAGCCACCTAACCAGGGGTCCCTACGTAGCCAGGGTGGGGCTGGAAGCTGCTATAGGCCCTTTGGCGGGAGGTGTGGGGATACCCTGCTCTTCACAGGTACACAGTTTGCACCTATTTCTACATGTGTAGATGGTTTACATAATGGGCACATATTTGTACACATGTACATATAGTACTATCACAATAAACATATATGTACATAATATGTGTACAATAAATATGTACTTTATACGTACCTAATATAAACAATATGTACTTTTTGGTGATATTATGTGATATCTACATATTATTGATTATATATCTTATTGTGATAATATGTATGTTACCACTGAAATTTTTAGAAATGTACATAGAGTACACTTTATGTACCTATGCATTGTGTACACATTATAGAAATAAATAGGTACATATTTTACAGATGATGTACATTTTTTCTACATGTGTATTTTGTACACATATGTACAGCAGAGTAAATCAGACTATACCTATTTTATACATTTATTGTGATATGTCAATAAATGTACACATGAGTACATTCTAGGATATAATTTTTAGCATATTAGATAGGAATTACACCGGTGACCAAAGTGGGTTTACACCCAGGTGCGCACATAGTTTATACATGTACATGTTGTGCATATTATGTACTCATGTACAGAATGTACATGTCTACATTATATACATAGGTGTACGCAGCATACATATGTACATACTAGTGCACACATATGTACACATGCATATATTGTACATCTGTACATAATGGGTACATGATGTACATGTGTACACATCATATCACAATAAATGTAAATATACATAATGTTTGCAATATGTACGTTTATATTATGTATTACATTTATTGTGATTATATATGCTGTTGTGATATGATATCATTGTGACATTACAAATGTACATATTATACACATTATGTACCTATGCATTGTGCACAGATTATAGAAATAGAAAGAAACATGTACATTTTATTTACTTGTGTATTGGGTACACAGAGTAAATGTACAGATCTTACTTACTTTATACATTTATTGTGATATGCCAATAAATGTTCACATTATGAGTACATTCTGTGATATTACATTTAGAATATAAGATAGAAATTACTCTGGTTACCAAAGTGGGTGTACACTTATGTGTGCACATATTTTGTACATGTACATACTGTGCATATTATGTACTTGTGTACAGAAGGTAAATATCTACATTATATGTATGTATGGGTACAGAGCGTACATATGTACATACTATGTACATATATCTACACCTGAATTTATTGTACATACGTACATAATGGGTCCATGCTGTACATGTAAACACATCGTCATACCACAATAAATGGAAATGTACATAATGTGTGAAATACGTACATTTATATTATGTATTACATGTGTATTGTGATTGTATATGCTGTTCTGATATCATTGTGATATTACAAATGTACATATTGTACACATTATGGCATACCTATTGTGTACATATTATGTACACATAAATGTACATATTGTACAGATTATGTATATTTATTGTACATCTGTATGGTGCACACATATGTACATCACAGTCAACGTACATATGGTACATATTCTGTGCATTGTTTGTAATATTTCAGTAAGAGTACACATTATAAGTATATTCTGGGATATGATTTTTAGTATGTTAGATAAAAATTACTTTCAATATCAAAGTGGGTATACACTTATGTGTGTCCATTTTGTGATATTATCCATCATATACTGAGTAGGTGTTTCTCTCATTGTGAAAGCAGGTTTACACTCTCGGATTGCTCCAATATCAAGGCAAACTAAAACTCGTCTGTGATGTAGTTAATAATATCCTGAGGACAAAGGATGACCATACCCTGAATATCGCAGGAAGTGTACACCACCACTGTAGTATTGTTTCTAATGTTCAAAAACGGAAAGGATATTACTCCAAATACCGTGATATTGTTTCTAATAACTAGAGAATTACAGATGACATTACCCACGACGTGACTGGGGCTGTACCTGGTCCTGGAATATTGTTCCTAATATCCAGAGAAGGAGAGGAAAATGTTGCTGCCCATAGGGAAATACTCTTAATACGGCAAGAGGTGTACACCATGCTTTGATATGGTCACTGATGTAAGCGAGAAAACAATTACATTGAATTAAGCATTGCAAGGAATGAAACTCCCCTATGATTTTCATTCTAATGTCAACGGGGGTGAGGATGACATTTTTGTCAATATGGCAGAGGTGTAACTGGAGCTATTGCCTAATATACAAAAAAACAGAATAAGATTATCATTTTTATATAATATGGTTGCCAGTATCATATTACACCGGATTTGCAAAATAGCTGGGCCTCAGCAGCTGTGGGCAGAGCCCACAAGCGAGGGGACCCCTAAGCAGCCAGGGTGGGCCTGGGGGCTGCTCTGGGTGAGCACATCGACCCAGCCAGGGGTCCCCGAGCAGCCATGGTTGGCCTGGGGGCTGCTACGGGCACTCTGGCATGGGCTGTGGGCACAGACACCTAGTCAGGGGGTCCCTAAGCAGCCAGGGTGGGCATGGGGGCTGCTACAGGCATTCGAGCAGTGTTTGTGGGCACAGCCCAATTGCCAGGGGTCTCTAAGCAGCCAGGCTGGGCCTGGGGGCTGCTATAGAGGGGGGCTTTGGTAATAGCGTGCTGTGCATCGGTACATAGTTTGCACCTATTACTACATGTGTAAATAGTTTTAATATCGGGCATATATATGTACATGCGTACATATGGAGTTATCACGATAAATTTATATTTACATAATATGTGCAAAATACATATGTACCTAATGCATACCTAATGTGTACAATATGTACTTTTTTGTAATATTAGACAATATATATTACTCTGATTATATATCTTATTGTGATTAAATATATTTTATCACTAATATTTTAAGGAGTGCATAGTGTACACATTATATACCTATGTATTGTGTACACAATATAGAAATATATAGGTACATATTTTACAGATTATGTACACTTTTTCTACATGTGTATTGTGTACACCTATGCACAGCAGAGTAAATGTACAGACTGTACCTATTTTATACATTTCTTGTGATATGCCAATAAATGTACACATTATGAGTACATTCTAAAATATAATTTTTACCATATTAGAAATTACTTCCATTGACCAAAGTGGGTGTACACCCAGGTGTGTACATAGTTTATACGTGTACATATTGTGCATATTAGGTACTCATGTACAAAATGTACATGTCAACATTATATGTATTTATGTGTACATAGTGTGCACATGCACATACTGTTCACACATATGTACATGTGCATATTTTGTACATGTGTACATAATGGGTACATGATGTGCATGTGTACACACCGTGATACCACAATAAATGTAAATGTACACGATGTGTGTATGTATTACTTGTGTATTGTGATTTTATATGCTGTTGTGATTATATGATATCATTGTAATATTACAATAAATATACATATTGCACACATTTCGTACATACCTATTGTGTACACATTATGTACCTGTAATTGCACATATTGTACAGATTATGTACGTTTTTGGTACATCTGTATTGTGTACACATATGTACATAACACTCTATGTACATATGGTATGTATTCTGCACATTGATTGTAACATCTCAATAAGTGTACACATTATGAGTATATTGTGATATATGATTTTTAGTATATTAGATAAAAATTTCTTTCTATATCAAAGTGGGTATACACCCATGTGTGTCCATTTTTTTATATTATCCATCATATTTTAAGTAGGTATTACTCTCATTTTGAAAGCAAGTGTTCACTCTGTGATTGTTCCAATATCACAGGCAAAGTACAAGGCTTCTTTAATGTACTACCTAATATCCTGGGATCGCAGGAAGTGTACACCACCACTGTAGTATCGTGTCTAATATCCAAAAACGGAAAAGATATTACTCCAAGTATCTGATAAAGCACACAAGACCCCCGTGATATTTTTTCTAATAACTAAGGGATTACAGATGACATTACTCACGATATGACTGGGGCTGTCCGCCGGTCCTGTGATATTGTTCCTAATATCCAGAGAACGAGAGAATAATGTTGCTGCCCATAGGCAAATCCTCTGAATACGGCAAGAGGAGTACACTGTGCTCTGATATGGTCACTAATGTAAACAAGAAAACAATTATATTGAATTTAACATTGCAAGGGGTGAAACCCCCTTATGATTTCAATTCTAATGTCCAGGGGTGTGAGGATGACATTTTTGTCAATATGGCAGAGGTGTAACTAGAACTATTGCCTAGTATATCAAAAACCAGAATAACATCATTTCCATATGATATGGTCGCCAGCATCATATTACACCACATTTCACAGCGCCCTAGCCAGGGGGACCCTAAGCAGCCAGCGTCAGCCTGGGAGCTGTTACGGGCCCTCTGGCGGGGAATGTGGTTACAGCTCCCTAGCCAGGGTGTCTTTAAGCAGCCAGGGTGGGCCTTGGGGCTGCTACGAGGGGGGCTGTGGTAATAGCTTGTTCTGCACAGGTACATAGTTTTAATAATGAACACATATTTGTATAAGTGTACACATGGTGTTATGATAAATATATATGTACATATGTGCACCATACATATAGACCTAATGTGTACCTACTGGTACAATATGTACTTTTTTGTGATATTACATGATATATATATATTACTGTGATTATATGCGTTATTTTGATTATATATATTTTATCACTGATATTTAAGGAATGTGCATAGTGTACACATTATGTACCTATACATTGTTTACACATTATAGAAATATGTAGGTACATATTTTACAGAGTATGTACATTTTTTGTACATGTGCATTGTGTACACATATGTACAGGCAGGGTAAATGTACAGATTGTACCTATTTTATACATTTATTGCAATATGCCAATAAATGTACACACTATTACTACATTCTGAATTATTATATTTTGTATATTAGATAGAAATTTCTCCGGTTACCAAAGTGGTTGTACACCCAGGTGTGTACATATTTTATATGTGTACATATTGTGCATAGAATGTACTTGGGTACAGAAGGTACATATCCACATTATATGTACACATGTGTAGTGTACATATGTACATACTGTACCCACATATGTACACTTGCATATATTGTGCATCTGTACATAATAGGTACATGATGTACATTTTACATATCATATCACAATAAATGTAAATGTACATGTTTGCAATATGTACATTTATATTGATATTACATGTGTATTGTGGTTTTATATGCAGTTGTGATTATATAACATTGTGATATTACCATAAATGTACATATTGTACACATTATGTGCATACCTATTGTGTGCACATTTTGTACATATATTCGTATTCGTACAAATGATACAGTTTATGTACATTTATTGTACATCTGTATTGTGTACATGTATGTACATCACAGTCAATGTACATATGTTACATATTCTGTACATTGAGTGTAATATCCCAATAAGTCTACACATTATGAGTTTTTTCTGGGTTATGACTTTTAGTATATTAGATAAAAATGACTTCCAATATCACAGTGGGTATATACCCATGTGTGTCCATTTTGTGATATTATCCATCATATCCTAAGTAGGTATTTCTCTCACAATGAAAGAAGGTGTACACTCTGTGATTGTTCCAATATTATAGGCAAAGTGCAACGCTTCTGCGATGTAGTTCCTAATAACCCAGGGACAGAGGATGAGTATACTCTTAATATCACAGGAAGTGTACACCACCACTGTAGTATTGTTTCTAATATGCAGAAACTAAAAGGATATTACTCCAAATATCTCCAAAAGCACACAAGACCCCCGTTACATTGTTCTTAATAACTAGGGTTACAGATGACATTGCTCACGATGTGACTGGCGCTGTAAGCCGGTCCTGTGATATTCTTCCTAATATCCAGATAAGGAGAGAAAAATGTTGTTGCCCATAGAGAAATATTCTGAATACTGCAAGAGATGTACACCGTGCTCTGTTATGGTCACTAATGTAAACAAGAAAACAATTATATTGAATTAAACATTGCAAGGGGTGAAACCCTCCTATGCTTTCAACTCTAATGTCAATGGGGTGAGGATGACATTTTTGTCAATATGCCAAATGTGTAACTAGAACTATTGCCTAATATGTAAAGAACCACAATAACATTATCATTTCTGTGTGAAAGGTTTCCAGTATCATATTACACCAAATTTTCAAATAGCCAGGCCCCAGCAGCTGTGGGCACAGCGCCCTAGGCAGGGGGTCCCTAAGCATCCAGCGTGGGCCTGGTAGCTGTTATAGGCCCTCTGGCGGGGGCTGTGGGTACAGCCCCCTATCCAGGGGGTCTTGGTGGGCATTGAGGCTGCTACGAGCAGGAACTGTAGTAATAGCCTGCTGTGCATAGGTATGTAGTTTGCACCTATTTCTGCATGTGTACATTGTTTAAATAATAGGCACATATTTGTATACGTGTACATATGGTGTTATCATGATACATATATATTTTCATAATATGTGCACTATACATATGTACCTAATACATACCTAATGTGTACAATACGTACTTTTTGGTGATATTACACAGATATATGTATTACTGTGATTATATATCTTACTGTGATTATATATATTTTATCACTGATATTTTAAGGAAATGTGCATAGTGTACACATTATGTACCTATGAATTGTGTACACATTAATAGAAATATATAGGTACATATTTTACAGATTATGTACATTTTTTGTATCATGTGCATTGTGTACACCTATGTACAGCAGAGTACATGTACAGATTGTGCCTATTTAATACATTATCACAATACGACAATAAATGTACACACTATGACTACATTCTGTCTGGGATTTTATATTTAGTATATTAGATAAAAATCTCTCCGGTTACCAAAGTGGGTATACACCTATATGTGTACCTAGTATATACGTGTACATATTGTACATATTGTGTACTCCTGTACAGAAGGTACATATCTACATTATATGAACATATGTGTAGTGTAAATATGTACATACTGTGCACACTTATGTACACGTGTATATACCGCAAATCTGCACGTGTGCATGATGTACATGTGCACATATCGTAATATCACAATAAATGTAAATGTATATGTGTGCAATATGTACATTTATATTGATATTATGTATTATATGTGTATTGTGATTATATATGCTGTTGTGATTATATGAAATCATTGTAATATATAATATATTTACATATTGTACACATTATGTACATACCTACTGTGTACACATTATGTACATATAAATGTACATATTATACAGATTATGTACATTTTTTGTACATCTGTATTGCGTACACATATGTACATCACAGTCAATGTACATATGGTACATATTTTGTACGTTGATTGTAATATCCCAATAAGTGTACACATTATGAGTATATTCTGGGATATGATTTATAGTATATAAGAAAAAAGTTACTTCCAATATCAATGTGGGTATACTCGCATGTGTGTCCATTTTGCTGTACCTTCTATTAATCTTTGCCATTGAACATGATAGTGAGAGGTGGTTCTTTTCTCTAACAAGGTTTTCTGTTAATATAACTCAACTCTACTACCTTGTGGCCTCTGTATCTTCCATTGTAAATTGTAATTACCTATAAAAGAGAATATTTTGACATCACGTATCTACCTCTTGGATCCATCAGCCAGAGGCCTAAAATAAAAAAGACATTCACCCCACGAATGGTTATATAGTGGTTGACAACCCCACTTTCTTCTAGGTAAATAATATCCTCTCTTTAACAGTAGCTACTTACAAGATTTGTGCATAAAGAATGTACATAAATTTCTAAAATACTGAGAGAATATTCTGATCATTGGTTATATACTATTTTAATTTAATTTTTTCCTCACAAATTTTATCTTAACTGCATACTCTACCCTGTTTATAAGACTGCCCTATGGTTAAATTTAGTAGGTAGTAAATTATCCTGGGCACACAGAACAATTCTTTCTGTAATCAACTCTGAAACATCATAGAAAGAGCAAGGATATGGGAATGAGATTTATCTGGCTTTTATTTCTGGTACTTACTTGCTCTCTGACCTTGGACAACTTATGTATTGCTCTGAGTCTCATCTTCTTCATCTGTAAAATGATCATAGTAATACCTAATTCATATGCAGCTTGGAAATGTGTAATTTAGTGATTGATATAAAGTTCCTGATACAATTTCTGACAAAATAATAGACACCCCACGAGAGATAGCCATAACAATCAGAGTTCATATTCACATTAACTGGGATAAAATTGATCTGAAAATACAGCAAAAATTCACAAGCATATATTTCGCTTGCCTTTTTATACAGAGCTGGAAAACTTCTCATCATTATCTCATCCATTGCCTGCAGCACGATCCTTCCAAAACTCCTCCTAAGACCGTCTGCCAAGGTGGAACACACTGAACCGCATGTGACTCTGCCTTTTCTGACTATTTTTGCAAGATTTTTCTCATAGAGTATTATTAACAGAAAATGGGGCTGTTATCAAGGTGACTAGGAATGGTGCATTCTCAGTTCAGGCTCTGATGGAATGTCTACTTGATCTGGTGCAACTCCAGCTGTGCTCTTGGCTTTCCTCACTTTTGTGGTTCCGAGAATGCAAATATTCTCCCATGGCTTCCTTATTTTGTCTTTCTCCATGAGGTCTCATTCAAGTATAAACATTCCCTTCAATTTTCTCAACTCATTTTATATTGTCTGAATAACCTTGATAATTTTCCCTTTCCTAAAGCTATAGACCTTCTTTTTGTGTGTAAGAACAGTCACAAATGTTTACTGTCCGCTAAACATTTATGTGTAATCTGTCCTTAATTCTACACACAAAATATCATCTCTACCAACATTTTACAACTATAGTCTTTCTATAGAGAACTATGAAAGGAACTTGCTCTGAAGGAGAAACTTCCAGAGCTAAACCAAGGGTATGACAATTTTTAACAATATGTTATTCAGTAAAAATATTTTTCAGTTAACAGAGAAGAATGCCATAAACAAAATGGCAAAACAGAACTTTTCAGCACTTATTCCTTCACAGAAACATCAATTTGAACAGCCATCCGTGCATCAAAGTGTCTTCAAAAGAGACAAGGAATCCAGGTGAGAGGTTATAGCACGTTTGTGGAGTAGAAAAGTAAGAAAAATGGCATAAAATAGAGTATAAAAAAGAGTTTTCTATTATCTGCATTACCCCGCCCCTAAACCTGGGTAGTGCAGCATGGAAAGAGATACCATGTATGTGCAGAGAGGAGAGTAACCTGACTTCAACATCAACTCCAATGCCAGGCACAATTCAGTGAACTCAACACCAGGCAGGTTTCTATAGCCACAGGCTATGGGACAGACCCTGTCAACCCAAGCTCCAGGCCTTCCCCTATGGCTCTAAGATCTAATGCCTCCAACCTCCATGGCTCCTATCGACATAGGCTCCAGGCCTTCGCCACAACCAGGCCATTTATGGCTTCCCCAGGCTCCACACTGGTTACTATAGACTCGTAAGTGCCTGGATAAACAAACCTCTACATCGACACAGTGGAATATTATTCAGCAATGAAAGCAATAATCTTTGAATGTGGCTTTTGTTGCAGAAAAAAAGCACGTGAGCTATGAAGCCATTAAAAGACATAGAGGAAACTCAAATACATACTACTAAGTGAAAGAAACCAATCTCAAATGACCACTTACTATATGAATCCAACTATATGACATTCTGGAAAAGGCAAAACTATAGAGACATCAAAGGGTTGAAAAGTGGGGAAGGATAAATAGGGCAGAGCATAGAGGATGTTTAGGGCAATGAAACTACTCTGCGTGTTATTATAACGGTAGACACATGCCATTACACCCTTGTCAAAACTCACTGAATATACGACAGCAAGAATGGTCCCTAATGTCAATTATAAACTATGGGTGACAGTGATATGTCAATGTTGGTTCATCCACGGGTGTGTGCACATACACAAGTTCCGATTAGATAAAAGAAGAAACACTTTTTAAGTTTCTTTCTAGGCCTAATAGAAATTCTTTTTTTTTTTTTTTTTTTTACAAAAACAGAGCTGTTTTTTTCCATTGCAAAAGTGTGGGTGTCCTTCCTTTTGGAGAGTAACAATCATTTTCTACATGGCCTTCTGACACATTGCATGTTGTACATATGTGTGTGTGCACATGTGCATATGAGTGTTAGAGTATGTGTGTGTAGCAGGGAGGAAAGAGATAAAGGAGAGTGCGTATGATATGAGTGTGAGTGTGTGTATGCACGTGCCTGTGTGTGTGCACATGTGTATGAGCATGCTTGTATTTGCGTATGAGAATGTGCATGTGAGAGAGAAAGAAAGGATGCGTGTATGTGTGAATGTGTATGTGTGTGTATAGCAGGGAAGAAGGGGATGAAGGAGAGTATGCTAAAAAGAGAACACCTCAGAACAGTCAAATAAAAGATTCCATATCAACATCATATCTTGTTAAAATACAGGATTCCCAAGTCAGTCACCTTCAAGCTGGAAGCCTGGAGTGTAAAAAGAGTGGGTGTTCTTCTCTGACAACTTATTGTCTAAGACAATTTTATGATCAAAAATATATTCGAATAAAAGTACCTGAGAAAAGTACATAAAGAGAATATAGCAAAATGTTAACAATGGTTTTCTTTGGGTGAGAGGAAGAAGAGGCAGGTTGTGGTTGATCTGTTTCTTTTAGTTCAACTATTCTGCATTCCTCACTTTTAAATTTTGGATATTAAGGCTGGAGAGAAAGAACATGAATATAAAGATGAATTCGCTGAATGGAGCAACGAATGCTGAGTTAGCCAAAAATGTATGGCTACCTTCTATATCTAATTATCTGAGGGCAAATCAGAAAACACCACTTTCAGAAAATTTTTTTTTTTTTTAGAAATGAAGTTTCGCTCTTGTTGCCCAAGCTGGAGTGCAATGGCACAATCTCGGCTCACTGCAGCCTCCGCCTTTTGGGTTCAGGCAATTCTCCTTCCTCAGCCTCCCGAGTAGCTGGGATTACAGGCACGCACC